AGTTTGGTGTGGTAGTAGTAGCTGGAGTTTGGTGTGGTAGTAGTAGCTGAAGCATGGTGTGGCTGTAGTAGCTGAAGCTTGGTGTGGTAGTAGCTGAAGCTTTCTCCAGATGTGATGTGCGCGCTAAAGATTTGACCCAAATGGCTTCAGCTACAAGATGATTTGAGTTTAGAACGTGAAAGGCAGCGGGTGATATGCGTTCCTTCAGGTCATGCTAGGCTTTTAATTTGAAGTAGGATCGTTGGGGTCCATGAGCTGCTGGGTGCAAGTTGCTTTCAGCTGATTAAAGATGGCCGCCATGTGTGTCCAGGATGTGAGGTCAGCTCTACTGTTCAGTGAAGCAGCAGCAGAACCTTCACTTTAAACCGCTCTGACCCCACAGCGCAGCGGGGACCACTGGTTCACTCGTGGATACGTTTAGGTCTTCATCAACCTTCTTCAGATGAAGGTGCAGGCTGAAATGTTGTCATGCTTGTGATGTGCATGTGCACACACACGCTTTAAAGTCAGAGGAACGTGAGGAATTCAGCTAAAGATGTGATCATCAGAATGCTGCAGACACAAACTCCTGAGAGCTCTGCTGAGATGAGGGAGAGGGAAATTCTCGTGTGCTTCTCCACGATTGTAACCTCAGGAAGGAAGGCAGGAGGCAGACGGTCAGGAGGAGCGACGGGGCCGGATATCTCCGGCTGCTCCAGAAACAGCCGATACTTCAACAGGTTTCAGGATGGTTCATCTTAAAGCTGCTCATCACATGAAGGACGGAGGACGGAAACAGAAACCTCCAAACAGAAGAAACCAGATCTGCAGTGTGTTTCCTCATGTCGTGCTTCTTGTGTCCTTGAATTAAAACTTTGCAACATTTGTGACGAAGTGGCAACTATAATGTGTTTGTTTACGGAAACAGCCGAAGTGACTGAAAACAGGTCAACGATGGCGACGTCCACAGAAACGCACCTGGGCTTGAAGTCTGATGGTTTTGATGTGTTGGTACATCTACACTCAGATCTTATGTTGGTGTTAGACGAGTTGTCTGGTGGACTCCAGGACTTCTGGGGGACGCTTCACCTCTCATCCATCCTCTCATCTGAAGAAGCCGTTTGGAAGAGAGAGGAAATGTTTTTAGGAATAACGAGTCATCAGTTATTTGCAGATGATGTGGTCCTGTTGGCGTCATCATGCAGATCTTCAGCTCTCACTGGAGCTGTTTACAGCAGAGTGTGAAGCTGCTGAGATGAGGATCATCTCCAAATCTGGGGCCATGGTCCTTGGTCAGAGAGGGTGGACTGTCCTCCTGGTTGGGGGTGAGGTTCTGCCTCAAGTGAAGGACTTCAACAGGGTTTTATTCACAATGAGGGAAGAATGGAGGTGGGGAGATCAGCAGATGGATTGGAGCAGCTTCTGCAGTGTTGTGGACTCTGAGCCGGTCCGTTGTGGTGAAGAGGGAGCTGAGCTGTGAGGAGAAGCTCTCAGTTTACTGGCTTGTCTATGTTCCTACCCTCACCTGTGGTCCTCTGGGTAGACACTGAAAGAACCACATCCTGGATTCAGGAGGTCTAAAGGAGTTCTCTCTGCAGAGCTGGACTCTCCCTTAGAGACCGGGTGAGAAGTTCAGTTATCAGGAGAGACTCTGAGTAGAACCATGAGTAGAACCACTGCTCCCCTCATCCAGAGGAGCCAGCTGAGGTGGTTCAGACATCTGGTCAGGATGGATCCTGCATGGCCTTTAGTTTTGACAGATCAGTTGTGTGAAATACCAGTTTAGAAGTAAAAGTACACCCTTTTATAATAAAAAACTTAAATCACAGTGACTATATATTCAGGAGCAGGTTTATGAAAGTATAAATTGGGATTATATTCCAGGGAAAATATTTATGGCCCACCACTGACGGGCAGGAAATGATGTTTTTGTTGTTTGTCTTGTTTGTTGGCGAAATAAGACGAAGCGCAGGATTTTAACAAATCTCTCAGAAATGCATAACTGCACGTTCATCTGCAACTGATTAACGTTTGGAGTCAACTTGATTCAAGATGGCCGCAGCAGCTTATCCAACAGAAACTATTCTTACTGACTTTTCCAGAATTAGAGCTAAAGTTTGGTGTGGTAGTAGCTGAGGGTCATTCCCAATTCATACTCCCAGCTCTAAAAGATGTTTCTTGTTATGCAAGTTTGACCAAAACTGTTATACTGTAAATATAATTTACTCTGAAGGCCAGGTGAGCAAACAGAATGACAGAATTTAATGATTTTATCTGTACAGGTGGCCCGTCTGCTCATTATTCTAGACCTGTCCTAAGCCTTCAGCACGGTCCGTCATGACATCTTCTGCCTGAAGCTCAGATACTGGTTTAGCTCAGATACTGGTTTCTCAGATCACATGGTTGGTTGGTTGGTTCTCAAACTCTCTCTCAGATCGAAGGTAATGTGTTCAACACAATGGTACTGTACTTCGTCTAACTATGTAACAGTCACTAATGGTGTGCCACAAGGCTCAGATTTAGGAGCCACTCTTTTTACAATTTTTATAAATAATATATTTTTAATAATATTAAAATTATTTATAAATAATGTGTATCAAAACATTCTTGACACCTCCTTCCATCTCTGTGCTGATGATACAGTTGTTTACTGTTGAGCTAACACAGTTGCTAAGGTTTTCCAGCTTCTAGTCTGCATTCACCATCATCCAGTCAGGTTTGTTCCTGAATCTTTACTTAAACAGATAAGTCACATTGAGCCTCAAACGCTTTTAAGCTGCATGTTGAAAGCTTGAAAAAGAAACTGAAATTAAAACTGGGTTTATTTTTCAGAAATAGATCTTGATTAACTCTGAATGCCAGGAAAAGTCTTGGAACTTCTATTTTCCTACCGGCCATCGACTACGGTGACATTATTTATATGAACGTTCCTGCCAGCTGCTTGCAGATGTTGGATGCTGCAGATGTTGGATGCTGTCTATCATGGTGCACTGATTCATAACTGGTTGTAACTACCGTACCCACCACTGCACCCAGTATTCACTGGTTAACTGGTCATCATTATCTACACGTAGGCTCTCGCACTGGTTCATCTTCATCTATAAATCCCTCCTTGGTCTGTTGCCTTCTTATGTCTCCTCCCACATGTCTCTGTGTGAGTGCAGCTACAGCGTGCGCTCTCAGGACATTATTACCTGCAGTGTTCCCTCGGTGAGGACTGAACTCAGCAAAAAGGCCTTTTCAGCTCCTGCAACTTGGAACACCTTGCAACAAGATCTGAAGTTGTCCTCCTTTATTTCTTTATGCGATTTCAAACATTTGATAATGTCAATAGAAAAATCAAAGCAAATATGTTCTTGTTTTTAGTATTTTAACTTGTTTATATGGCAACTTGATTTGACTGTTTTTATGACTTTTATTTTAATTGTCTTTTGTTGAATTATTGTTGTCTGTACTTTATATGTTGTTTGTACTTTATGTGTTGTCTGTACTTTACATGTTGTCTGTACTTTACATGTTGTCTGTACTTTACATGTTGTCTGTACTTTATATGTTGTTTGTACTTTATGTGTTGTCTGTACTTTACATATTGTCTGTACTTTACATGTTGTCTGTACTTTACATGTTGTCTGTACTTTACATGTTGTCTGTACTTTACATATTGTCTGTACTTTACATATTGTCTGTACTTTACATGTTGTCTGTACTTTACATGTTGTCTGTACTTTACATGTTGTTTGTACTTTATGTGTTGTCTGTACTTTACATATTGTCTGTACTTTACGTGTTGTCTGTACTTTACGTGTTGTCTGTACTTTACATGTTGTCTGTACTTTGAATGTTGTCTGTACTTTACGTGTTGTTTGTACTTTACGTGTTGTCTGTACTTTATGTGTTGTCTGTACTTTACGTGTTGTTTGTACTTTACGTGTTGTTTGTACTTTATATGTTGTCTGTACTTTATGTGTT